GGAGACCAAAGAAAACAGTTTAGGTCTGATGATGTGGTGTTAATTTGAAGGGATTCTGAAACCCCCTACTTAAAAAGCATAGCTACACAGAGAAAACTTCCCAGCTCTTCTCCGAAAAAAATAAATAAATAAAAAAAAAAAAAAAAAAAAAAAAAAAAAAGCATAGCTTTGGGAAGTACCTACACCCAGTCCTCAAACCAGAGAAAAGAAATGCTGGCCTGGACCCCATAGTCAGGCCCCGCCCTAGTTGAAGGGCTCAAGAAAAAAGATAAACAAACAAAAAAAAAAAAAAGCAAAAGTAAGCCTACTGGATCCTAGTTAAAGAGACAGGCCCCAAGCAAGCAGCAGCGCGCGACTGCACGGATCACAGTCACCTCCTGTCCCCGCAGGAGCCCGGGACTCCGCTGTGTCCATGAGCCGCTGGCTGCTTCGGTTCGCCGGCGACTCGGGGTTCAACCGCCGCGGACTGGATGCGCAGACAGCAGACGCTCAACCGGGCCTGGACTCCACATTCCCGGTCCAGAGGCGGAGATCCACGCCGGCTGCGTGAAGTCCTTCCAGATCCCGGGAGCCCGGGACCCAAGGGCGCGAGGGCGGGCAGGGGCGGAGCTGGGGTCCCCGCCCGGGCAGATCGCTGACTCAGCTGCTGGGTTCCGAATAAAAAGGAGAAAAATCAGATCTTGTGCTCTTTAGAGAAAACTAGGCTCGTGCCTAAAGGATGGAAATGCCAGTGTGTGTGATCGCTGAAGAACAGACTCTGAAGAAACGGAAGTGAACAAACCTGTAACACCTGCAGAAAAAGGCTTGCAAGAAGGAGCGCCTGGGAGCCTGGCTGTGGGAACTTTCCTTGGATGCAGGCGTCCGCGTTTATGAACTGTTTGCTCAGTTGCTGTGTCTTTCTTTCGATGACAAGGTCCCTTTTTTTCCATCTCCACAACTCGGGTCTTAAGGCTTGTATGAACTAGTTGCCTGGTTGTGCGTCTTAGAAATAAGAGGTGCAAGCACGTGTTCCCTTTCTCTCCACTCAAAGTATCCCCCCAGCACAAATCTAGTCCCACTTTGTCTTTTCCTTGTTTATTATTTGGGAAGAGCTTAAGTTTGGAAATTTGGGCCAAGGCAAAGAGTCACACTCCTGCAGTCGATGGGGTTTTAATATGAATGAACCTCTTACACAGCACGCCTACCACCAGCAGATATGATAGACATGATCAATGTGTTACTACAGTGCTACCAGTTCTACAATAAGGTCGTTGGGAAAGGACTGTACTTTGACCTAGCGAGAGAGGGTTATTGTGTGGGTCTGTGTATATGTTCCAAAGGAGGCTGTTGGGTCCCCTGGAGATGGAGTTAAAGATGTTCATGAGCCACCTCCACACAGGCGCTAGGAATTGAACTTGAGTCCTTTGGATGGACAATAAGTGTTCTTAACCACGGAGCCTTTTCTCCAGTCCCGCCAATGCCACTGAAGTGTGTTCTCATTCCGACCTAACCTCTACCCACAGAGGATTTTCCTCCAATTATTTATTTCATGATCTTTCTTCTTTCATTTTAAAAGCTCATTTTCTGTACGGATATTAATTGCAGAAGTTGAGTCCCCCAAACTGGTCCTGTTATTTATTTTTCTTTCTTTCTTTCGTTCTCTCTCCCCCCGTCTCTCTTTCCCTCTCACATCAGCAGCCATTCTTATATACAGGGTGTGTGTGTGTGTGTGTGTGTGTGTGTGTGTGTGTGTGTGTGTGTGTCTTTTTTAAATTATATCCTTGGACCTGCAAGATGGCCGAGAAGGTAAGTGTACTTACTGTCTAGCACTACGACCCAAGTTCCACCCCTGGGATCCACATGGTAGGTGAGCACCAAATCCCCGATATTGTCCTCTGACCTGCACGTGAGTGCTGTGGCACTTGTGTCCCCCTCAAATGTGTCTACCTACCACTGGTTCTTAGGGTCTGGACCAGGTGATTCCAAGTTCTTGCTCTTTTATTTGAGAGTTAAATAAACTCTTAGCTTAACAACCTGAGTTGACTTGGATTTTACACACACTTCTCTTTGAGTAATGCACCTGGCATTGTTTGGGAATCTGGGACCTCCCTGTGCATTAAGCTGCACATATCCTCCTCTCTCAACAATGGGACAAGTTTCTTCTTGCTTTCCCAACCATCAAAGTTAGACATAATCCATTCTTTTGTATTCAGTTTATCTAGGGGACTGATCCAGGGTGAACTAGTTTTGGATACATGCATGAGGCAAACGTGCTCTCAAGAGAACTTTTAGGGGGAACTTTCCTACTTAACCCCTTCATGCCTTTGCATAATTGGGTGTACCTGACTAAAATATATGCACTGGGCTGGAGAGATGGCTTAGCAGTTAAGAGCACTGCCTATTCTTCTAGAGGACCTGGGCTCCATTCCTAGCACCCACATGGTGGCTCACAGCTAGCTGTAACTCCAGTTCCAGGGAATCTGACCCACTCTTCTGGTCTCTGCAGGCACTGCATGCACATGGTGCACAGACATACACCCTGGCAACACTTATACATGTAAAATAAAAATAAATAAAATTAGATACGTTATGTGGAGGGATATATGAAGTAGAAAATTTATTTTATGACTAATCTATCAATCAAAATAGGGACTCCACCCTCACTGTAATATGTTCCAGCCCAGATTCTCTTCTTTAATTCCATAAAAAGAAACCCCAAACAATAATCAGGACTCTTGAGTATCTTGACTCATGTAGCCTGCTTTTCTTCTCCTATTACTTTGCTTTAAAGATAATTTCCTCACTGCTTTGTAATCTGTGTGGACTTTTGATTCATTCTCGAATAAGAGACCAAGAACCTGGGAATATCCAGCCTTGGCCCTCGAACACCGGTAAGAAGCATGCTGAACACCACAGCTTACCAGCACTGCACACTGTAGTGGCCACTGTTTCCCCGGGGTTTTTTTAACCAGGAATTTCAGCTCTATGCTGTTGCCTAGAACCTCAAGAAAGCAAATTACTGGTCAGAAAAAAAAAATCTAAATTCTAAGTTCAATTTCTGTTGAGTGAATACTGCTTTCATACCATCTTTGAAAGAGGAAATATTGATTGGGAGGGCATGCATGCATGCACCATGGTGTGCATGTGAGGGTCGGAGGACAACTTTTAGGGGTCCTTCCTTCTATGATGTATGTTATAAGCCTTGGCTTCCAAGTGTCTTTGTCTCCAGAGCCATCTTATGAACCCTTTCATACCCACCCTAAAGCTAAAATAATTATGTTATGATCCATCTCTATTTTATTAAAATTTCCCTGGTGGCTATAACAAAAGGCTACAACCTTTTCAATAAAAAGAAAACTAGGGCCAGCCAGTGGTAGCCCACGCCTTTAATATCAGCACTCAGGGAGGCAGAGGCAGGCAGATCTCTGTGAATTTGAGGTCAGCCTGGGCTACAGAGTGAGTTCCAGGAAGGGCGAAAAGCTACACAGAGAAATCCTCTCTTTAAAAAAAAAAACAAAAAACAAAAACAAAAAAAAAACAAAACACTAGGTCTGGAGAGATGGCTCAGAGGTTAAGAGCACTGGCTGCTCTTCCAAAGGTCCTGAGTTCAATTCCCAGCAACCACATGGTGGCTCACAACCATCTGTAATGAGATCTGATGCCCTCTTCTGGCATGCAGGGACACATGCAGGCAGAACACAATAAACATAATAAATAAATAAATCTTTAAAAAAGAAAAAGACTGTGAAAATCAGTATGGTGGTTTCTCAGAAAATTGGGAATCAATCTACCTCAAGACCCAGCCATACCACTCTTGGGCATATACCCAAGGAATGCTCAACCATACCACAAAGATACATGCTCAGCTATGTTCATAGGAGCACTATTTGTAATAGCCAGAACCTGGAAACAACCTGGATTCCCCTCAACTGAAGAATGGATTAAGAAAATGTGGTATATATACACAATGGAGTACTACTCAGCCGAGAAAAACAATGACAGCATGAAATTTGCAGACAAATGGATGGAACTAGAAAAAATCATCCTGAGTGAGGTAATTCAAACCCAGAAGAAAAACATGGTATGTACTCACTCATAAGTGGATTCTAGATATAAAACAAAGAACAATCAGACTGCAACCCACAGAACCAGGGAGGCTATATAGCAGGGGGGACCCTAGGATGACTGTGGCTTATAGTAAGTTTTAGTTTTACTCAATTGCTGGGCAAGTCTCAATGAAACATTTCACAATAGGATAAGAATTTATACTGTATCAAGCTGATAATAGAAAAATAAATTTAAAAAAGTGAAAAAAATTTAAAAAACCAAAACAAAATACAAAACAAATAAACCTCACTTCCTGTAGGGCAGAGGTCTAACCTGGGGTTCAGCAAGGCGGAATTAGTTCGTCCTTCTAGTTCCATGTGTGGAAAAATGAATTTTATTAGATGGTATTTCTGAACTTTTTAGAAAGTGTTTTCATTTCATTAAAATCATAAATGACAGTGGTCAGTTATTTAATGTTAATATGATGCTGCATGCTTAGCATAAATCCAATTTGGTCAGGATGCATTCTCCTTTGTATACTTGTTTATTATACCATTTAATTCTATCGGAGTTTCTAGTTCTGGTGTATACATACACAACACACACACACACACACACACACACACACACACACACACGAGTGCTTCTTCTGGCTTTCCTACAAAGTTACTTTTGCCTGTGCACCATATCATCAGTACTATTCCTGAGCTATATTTATCTAGTAATAGCAGTCATGACAGTTTCCTGAAATTGTTAGTTATATGGTAGTCCTTTTCTGTCCTTTCACTTTTAGGGTACCTCTTTATGTTTAAAGTGGACAGGGGCTGGCAAGATGGCACAGTGGATGAAGGTGCTTGATGTTAAGCCCGATTGACAGGAGTTCAATCCCCAGGAACCACACAGTAGGAGAGAATTCACTCCCTCAGGCTATCCTTAGACCTGTACTCAAAACCCAAAGGGCCTGTGCCCACATACATAAACACACAATAAATAAATGTAATAGAACGTTTCTAGCTGGGCGGTGGTGGTGCACACCTTTAATCCCAGCACTCAGGAGGCAGAGCCCGGAGGATCTCTGTGACTTCTAGGTCAGCCTGGTCTACAGAGCGAGTTCCAAGATAGGCTCCAAAGTTACACAGAGAAACCCTATCTCGGAAAAAAAAAATTAAAGAAAATGAATTATCCTGATTGTCTTGACTTTTAATGAAATCAGATAATCTATTTATATTTAAAGTTAGCACTGACATGACAGAGCTTAAGTTCACCATTTCACCATTTCTTGTGTGTCGGCTCTGTCTCCCAGCAGTACTGGGATGACAAGTGTGCTCCATCCCAGCTGGTTTCTTCTGTGTGCAACTTAACTCAGGTCCTCATTCTTGTGTGACAGGCTTTCACTGTCTAAGCTGTCTCCTGTTGCCCAAATCCTAAATGGTCTTAATATAAAAACCCTGAGGCAGAGATTGACGCAAATGCTGAAAGATTAGAGAGACAAAGAAACAGTCATAGTCACCTCTTACCTCGCCAACTACACTAATCCTCTGTCTGAATGTGCCTGAGTCCTTAGCTGGAAGGCCTAATTCCTGTCTCCTCCCACCTTGTATTCCTCTCTCTGCTCAGCCATATCACTTCCTGTCTCAACCTTCCTAGTGCTGGAATTAAAGGTGTGTGCCACCACTGCCTGGCTGTTTCTCTTTTAAATGGGATTAATCTCGTGTAGTCCAGGGTGACTTTGAACTCACAGAGATCCAGACGGATCTCTGCCTCCCGACTGCTAGGACTGAAGGTGTATGCCACTACAGCCTGACCTCTGTGGCTAACTCTGTGGCTAGCTCTGTTCTCTGACCTTCAGGCAAGTTTTATTAGAGTACAACAAAATATCCCCACAGTCTCCCAAAGCATTGTTTGGTAGGGGCAGGGAATTGCCTGGGCATCACCATACCCAGTTTTAACTTTTCTGATCTACTTAGTGGTAATATTACATCACTTCCCGAACAACTCTGTCATTTTAGAGATTGCTCTCATTATGAACCTTGAAACTTTATGAGTCATTTTACCCAGGACGCACCTCCTCTTTCTCTATCCTTTGGGCTCCAGTTGTCCTATGTATCATACCTACCAAGACATAAAGTCTGTTATGGGATACTACAGTATTTGTCTTAAAAGATCACATTTTCTCTTTTAAAACAAAAAGATAAAATCTTTTTTATGTGCATTGGTGTTTTGCCTGCATGTATATGTATGTGAGGGTGTTAGGTCCCCTGGAACTAGAGTTATAGGCAGTTGTGAGCTGCCATGTGGGTACTGGGAATTGAACCCAGGTCTTCTGGAAGAATAGCCAGTGCTTTTAATCAATGAGCTATATCTTCAGCCCCTCTCCCGCCCCCATTTTCTTAACTGTGAGGAAAAAGAACTTTTTACATGTACCCTCCTGTTTACCATTTCCAATGCTTGTCATTCTGGAACTTTCTATCCCATGTCACTTTCCTTCAACATGAATTTTTTTTCCTATAGCATTTCAAGTATGAGTCATCTGGTGGTGAATTTTTTTTTACAATTCTTTCTGGATGACTTCATTTCTGAAGGGTCTTTGTTGAGTATAATACATTAGATATACATAGAAAGCTGTCTCTTGGCCCTTGCAAAATGTGAATCTATTGTCACTTGGTCCCTTTCATTTTTTCAAAGAAGTTAATGGAATTGTGTGTTTGTATTATTGGTCTCTAGTACGTAATACACCCCTCCTACCTTGGTTTACCTGTTCTTAAGATGTTCTCTTTATCTTTGGGTTTCAATAGCTTACTTATGTGCCTAGGGGACATAAGAACAGGGTGTGTGTTTCTATCATTCTGAGGGAATTTGTACTTCTCTAATCTGTAAACTTAAGTTTTCTTCCAAGTTGATATCCTTTTATACAATATTCATTCAAATACCACTACCTCATATTTTGGCTCCTGGCTGGTTAACTACATAGACCATACATTAAACCTCTACCTTTATGCATACAGATAAAAGTAGTCAAAACCAATCTTCTTTCCCAGTCTGTACACTCATTCTTATTTTTATTTTATTTTATTTTTTGCTTGCATCTTCATTTTTTTCCCCAAATTCTATCAGCTTCTGGTCATGTTCCTCAGTATAGTCAGGCAATTGTTTGGTTTGGTTTTGTTTGAACATTTTCAGGGTT